GGGGGGGGCATGCAACATTAGATAGGATTACATCCAGGGGTACAGATTTTGTGTGTGTGCATTGCAATAGCATTATTACGATGGGTTTTTTCCCATTAAAGTAGGTTTATTCAAGGGCCAGTCAATGAAACATGAAACTGCAGTGATCCACGCAAGAAAAAAAAAAATGTACCAACTTTTTCCATCTTACAATGAAATAAGTTCAGTGCAGGTATTTTAATGTCCTATCCTGTATTCACAACAAATGAGTTTGGGGCGGAATACATTCTATCTACGTTTCTCAAATAAGATAACACTGATACATAAATGAAAGAATAAAGAGAGAACGAATGTTTATGTCCATTTTATGTTATCTTGACGAGCGCCTGATTTTACCACTATGCCTAACATATTATTATGCCCTCATGAGTTTGACCAGCTTGCACGCACGTACCCGGCAGACATCCATTGGGCCCGTCTATGAAGACCGTCCCGACCATGTTCAAGCAGAAAAGCCTGCCCGACTTGGAGGGGAACTCGTCCGTCTTTGTGACCATCTTGTAGCCCAGGCCTAGCCACACCTCGGCCCTCACCGCCAGGTCCGATTGCTGGGGGAACGGCGGCACGCCATAGTCAGGGGACATTGTTGTATACTTTTGAAGTTTTAGTAAGAGTTTTACCGCACTAAATAATAATAAATGGAAATCTGTATGCACAAATCCCCACTCAGCAGCAAGCTCTATGCCCTTCACAATCTATACTATTACCCTAGCAGACCTGAGAGCATTCTGAAACAACCTCAACTTCCTGGGAAGCATACAGTGCAAGCAGCCATTTATGGGCGCTAAAACACTAACATACTGACAAGATCTTTCGCTGTCCAGGGCTGGGTACCCATTCCCATCTGGGTGAAGTAAGGAACATTTGTGTAAAATGCCTTACCCAAGGACACAACGTCGGGCTCGCGGCTCGAAACCCCGAACCCACACGGTAGCCTAACCACTCGGCCACAGATGCCACTTGCAACACGATAAGGACATATATACATATAAGGGCGAAGATTAGTGGTGTAGCAAGGGAGCAACAAACACAAAAAGGACGGGAGATAAGGACGATATATGTTTTTTTTTTTGGGGGGGGAGCTTTTCGTCGGCGGAGAATTCTAACCGTCCAACTCCGATTTCGTAAATTTTGCAGGAGAGACAAAAAACTGAATTCAAAGGCTCCTATGGGGATTTACTATCTTTAAATGCGCTAGACTGGAATACATGACTCTACTTTTAAGTAGTTAAAACAAAAGTG